TGGATGCACTCGAATATCTCGAAAACAGCACTCTTCAGAAAGAAATGTTTCAAATAAAAATTGTAGGGTGTGAAGGGGGACATAAGATGGTAGCATTGGTTTGACCTTGTAAAGTCATTTGAAGGTCACATAAAAGTCACCTTCAATTTCTTAAATTGAACCCACTATTTTTCATTACATATTCTTATAGCTTATCTCGAAAGCTTTCCAAAACACTATAATTAAGTACCTTTTTATTAAGTACTTTTTGAGTTATAAGGCTTGAAATAATTTCTTAATTTTACATAAACCATAAAATATGTAGTAAACCATTCATTTTTCGATTATCTTACTTTCATACTTTTATGTACAAAATAATGAGAGGAATCAATTGGTGTAAAGAAAACACATAGTTGTTTCTAAGAAAAAATATGTAATTTGCAATTAACAATTCCATATTTTTTCTTAAAAACAACTGTATGTTTTCTTTACCAATTGATTCCTCTCATTATTTTGTACATAAAAGTATGAAGGTAAGATAATCGAAAAATGAATGGTTTACTAGATATTTTATGGTTTATGTAAAATTAAGAAATTATTTCAAGCCTTATAACTCAAAAAGTACTTAATAAAAAGGTACTTAATTATAGTGTTTTGGAAAGCTCTCGAGGTAAGCTGCAAGAATATGTATTGAAAAATGGGGGTTTTCATTTAAGAAATTAAAGGTGCCATTCACGTTATCTTCAAACGACTATCCAAGGTCAAACCAATGACACCATCTTATGTCCCCATCGAAGTCACAAAACTTTTGTCTGAAACATTTTTCTTTAAAATGTCGCGTTTACGAAAAAATCGGGTGAGACGGGTGGTCTGGGACACCTTGTATATATATATATTATATATATATATATATATATATATATATATATATATATATTGTGACGTTGCAGTCCTGTCGCGCGTCCATCCGCCCCGGTAAGTTTAACGGGCCGAGCGGCCGCGCCAGAATCTGCATCGAGAGAACATTCGAGCTCCACGGAGAGACGAACGATATTATTATGTTTTTCGCGTTTATTAATTTTATTTGTCATTTCTTTTGTATCGAACGAATTTCGGGCAACCCGCCGGAGAAGATCAGGAAGGCTAGGAACGCATCGAGGGATCTTACGTCACAGCTGACAACACGGCGCTTCTCGACAGCCAGCGAGGGACGAAACAGCGCCTGAAAGGTCGAGGGACCAGACGCCAAAGAGGCAACATCACCCCTTTTCGAGAAGGCAGAGCAAGGGACGGATCGGTGCTACCTCCCCCGCAGAAGCGAGAACGATAGCTGAGCCTCCACCGGGTCATTGAAACTGGGCCCGCGACAGCGAAATTTTAATTCGAGGCCGTTGTGCGCCAGGCGCCGAAATACTTCGCATTTCGCGAAGCGCCAGGATCTCTCGCGTGCCGGGATATGATTGGCCGCGGGGCTGCGCACCCCTCTACGCGGTCATTGACGCCGCTATCGACCTGGGATGGAAAGATCCAGGGATGATTCTGGTGCGGGCGCTCGATAACAGTAGTCGCAATTTGTCGGTTGATCTTATGTCCCCCTCGAAGTCACAAAACTTTTGTCTGAAACATTTTTCTTTAAAATGTCGCGTTTACGAAAAAATCGGGTGAGACGGGTGGTCTGGGACACCCTGTATATATATATATATATATATATATATATATATATATTATCTATTATAAGATATTATTATAACTATATTAGTGTGGCGGCTACGATCTATCACACATTCAGCGCCTAGTGCACTCCAAGTCATGCATGCGCTACGCGTACGGCGGTGCGAGCCCTAAGGCGATTCAGTTCGAGGTGAGCCGACAGATGGTAGCAAGGGCAAACCATTTCGCATAAGAGAATTGAGGCAGCCTCGGTATATAAGACCGCAACAGATTGAATACCAGACGTATTCGGCCTCTAATACTAATAAAAGGTAAAACATGGTATTGAATCCAGATGGTAAAATAGTAAAAAAATGTCCGGCATATTGGCTATGGGATGAAATGATGGAAGAAGAGAATTTTGAACACGAGGTCGAAGAGGAGGAGATGGAGGAGGAAGAGGAGGTGGAGGATGAGGAGATGGAAGAACAAGAGGATGTTGTTCTCGGCTCTCCGCCGAGATCACCTTCGTATTCTCCGCCCTCTACTCCGCCATCTATTCCTTCCTTTTCTAGGGATCTAGAAAGAGAAGAGGTTGCCTCATTTGGCTCGTTGCAGTCAGACGAAGAAGAGGACTAGCAATAGCAGTAGAATTATTTTGTTCCGCATTTTGTTCGTTTACTTGTATACAATATGACTGAAATAAATTGTAATTTTATAATTGTACGTGTTATATCTTTTCATGTATCTGCATATAAAATGAAAAAAATAAACTTAAAAATGAAATTAAAAATAAAATTAAAAACATTAAGTCTTTCGAAAGAGTGTATAACGCTCACGCGCCGTCCCCATCTTCACGCGGGCGACGGTGAAAGTCGGGCAACGTCGAGAATTCTGTAACGGAGCTCCTTTCCCGACGCCGCGGATCGGCTCGCCGGAGTCAGGGTTCGGGAGAAGGGGAGGCTCAGACTCGCAAAACACCACACAGTTCTGGGCGAAAATATGTTTATTTTAAAAAGAAAGAAACAGATAGATGAGAATTTCGGGCGGTAAACCCGTACAAGTATGTTACGCTTATTATTTACAGGGAGTCGCGACGGAGCTGCGGATGCGGCTTCAATTATACTAAATCTAATAGCTAACGGGTATGACCTAATACTAATCGAGATATTTACAATGCTTATTCTACAAACGCGCGGACGGTTCTTTGGGACGCGGACCGCGGAGAAACCAGGGGTGGTCGCGTGCGGCGTGGCACGGACGCGGGCCTAGCAGGGTCTGTCAACCGAGGTCAGCTGAGGACAGGAGAACTCGTCCTCCGGGTGACGTACACGGGTGCCCCGTGGTACGTCGGGATACTGGACGTCGGTAGCAACCAACCGAGCCCGGTAGCAACCGGGCTCTAGACCAGGGGAATTTAATGGGACCCCTCAGAAGCGATGTCGCGACGCGAAAGTCCTAATGGGTGGTCGCGTGCCGGATGGCACGGACACGGGCCTAGCAGGGTCTGCCAACCGAGATCGGCTGAGGACGAGAGAACCCGTCCTCCGGGTGACGTACACGGGTGCCCCGTGGTACGTCGGGATACTGGACGTCGGTAGCAACCGACCGGGCCTGGTAGCAACCGGGCTCTAGACCAGGGGAATTAAACAGGGCCCTCCAGAATAAACACGCGGATGGTGGACGAGCGGTTTGACGGGCGGCCGTGACGAAAGGTCGGTTGAGGATCTGGTAGAAGGAAAAAAAAGGAAGACCAGTTTATTTCGCGACAGTATTATTCCGCGGAGCGCCGTGAGATATGCCGAACGGGAGGGGCGGTCGATGTCCAGGAGGCGTGGGTACGGCTGTCCTCTGGGAGCTGCGGTGGTCCCCTCAGATACCGTGGATCCGGCTGTCCTCCAGGAGTTACGGCGGCGGTTGTTCCTCAGGTACAGTGCTCGTCCACGTAGCCAGGGGGGGGCAAGGGCCGTAAGAGGAGCCCGTTGTTACCGGAGCCGTGAAAACGGCTAATTGTTCCAAGAGCCGTGAAAACGGCTAGTTGTTCCAGGAGCCATGAAAACGGCTAGTTGTTCCAGGAGCCGTGAAAACGGCTGTTCGTATGCCAGGATGCGAGCCGGACAGTCCGGACGTCGGTTGAGACCGACCGAGTACGGGAGCCCCGTACCCTGGACCGGGTCGTCCGTGGCTCGACGGAGAATGGGTCGGAAGTAAGCCGGACAATTCCAGACGTCGGTTGCAACCGACCGAATACGGGAGCCCCGTACCCTGGACCGGATCGTCCGTGGCTTGACGAAGGGCTTCTGGACGTCGCACGCAGCCGATCGGGCACGGCTGAGGCCGTGCTCTGGACCAGAAGCAAGGATGGAAGAGGAGCTCGGTAGGCTTCGATTGCCCAGAGTGCGTCCTGTGGCTTCTAGCGTCCCGAGAGTCGGGACAGGAATAAGTACCGGTCTGCCGGAGCGGCCGCCTTATATACCCGGCTAGCTACCCCCACTCGATATCCCCACGCGGTCATGCGCGTAGTAGTGGGGTAGGCCGCGACTCTCAGTCCGCGGCTCCCAATTCCGCGGCTCGGTCGAGGTGCTCAATCGGCGGCGCTTGGCGCCAAATTGGCGCCGCGCTGTTTCGTGCGCTAGTAACGGCCTAGCCGTTACATCACCCCCTTGTTTCACGGGACCTCACGGTCCGGCAATCGCTTCACGGAGCGTTGGCGGCCCCGGTGGTCGAAACGGACCACCCAACGCCCCGTAGTGGTCTGCACTCGATACTTCCGGGCCTGGTGTGCGGCGAAGTGCGGGACCTCGGCTATCTCACCGTCCGGCATGTGGACCCGGACCGGTGGAGGCAGGGTCGGATCGATGGTCACCCGAGCCGACACCGCGCAGATCGACGGGATTACCGGTGGTGGTGGCGCGACCGCTGTGCCGCTTGTCACGGCTGGAGATGGTGCGGTGGTCGGAGGCGGTGCGGTGGTCTCGGTGGAGGTGGGGGCGACGCGGTCCCGGTCCTTGTCGCCGTTACGGCTGGGGTTCGGCGGGTAGGCCGTCGTCGCGACGGTGCGGTGGGCCTACGTCTCCGGGTGCGTGGTGGTGGCTCGGCCAAGAAAATTGCCGATTTTCGGGCCTGGTCGCGATCCGACCGTTGGACCGTGGCCCCGGGCTTCGGTGGCGGTCGGCGTTCTTCCTCCCGCCATTCCCTCTTCCTCTCCTGCTTCTCCCCTTCTGAGGAGTCTTCGGTTTCGCTCCCGAACAGTTCTTGCATTAACTTGCGCTTTGCCATGCTGAACGGATAATAAACGGTGGAGCGCTCGTCTGCCTTATATACCCCACCGGACTGGGCCGAGTGGTGGGGCAATTGTTGGACGGGCCTCCTTATTGGTCAACGCCCGGGGATGTACTTTTTAGGTCGCGAACGTGTACGCGGCGGTGCCACCTACCGGAATCGTCGCGTAAATCCACTATAACCGGGGAAATAATCTTCTGTACGGTCATTGGCCCCTGATAACGCGGCGCTAGCTTAGCGTTGAAACCCTCCGATTTGTCGCATATCGGATGGTCCCGTTTCCATACGCGGTCCCCTATTCGCGGTCGCCAGTCGCGCCTGCGCAGATCGTAATACCGCTGTTGCCGTTGGAATGCGCGAGTGAGATTTATGCGCACGACTTCGAACGTGTCCTCGAGAGTTTGTCGGACGGTTTCCGGGGCGGTAGGAGTCAGGGGCGGTCGCCGATCGTCCGGGTGTGGAAGCGCGAGTTCCCGACCGTGTATCAGAAATGCCGGAGTGTATCCGATAGCTTCTTGCCTGGCCGTGTTGTAGGCAAATTGTAATTGGGGTATGTTTTCATCCCAATGCCGGTGTTTCTTCCCCACGAATTGCGCAATCATTGTTTTAATCGTTTGGTTGGCCCTTTCCAGAGTTACATTGCAGGGTATAGGCCGGTGCAGTGTGATGAGTGATACCGAATGCTTTTAGCAGATCCTGAAAGGGACGCGACTTGAACTGCGTGCCATTATCCGATACTACTATGTCGGGACACCCGTGGCGATATATCACGCGATTTGTGACTTCCCGAGTTACGTTGTCGGCGGTTGCTTGACGCAACAGGACTAACTCCAGCCACTTCGAGGAACGGTTCTGTGCTGAGAGTAGCCAGGTATGCCCTCGGGTGGAGCGTGGCAGTGGGCCTACCAAGTCTATCGAGACCTGTTGCCAGGGAGCGTCTATATTTGTCGCGTGTAGCCGTCCTGCGGGTAGCTGCTGAGCGACCTTGTGAGCGGCACAGCTTTAGGCAATTTCGTACGTAACGGGCTACGTCTCGGTACATCCCGGGCCAGTAATACAGGCGAGCTACTCGTGCGAGCGTTTTCGAAATCCCTAAGTGGCCGGCGATCGGGTTGTCGTGAAATCGGCGCAATATTTCTAGTCGGTCTGGAGCAGCTACGCACCGTTTCCACTGCTCGTGGGCGGGAGTCTCATGGAAATCCAGGCTATGCAGGAGGTGGTGGTAAAGCTTGCCCTCCTGCAACCGGAAGTCTGGGTAATCTAACGGGTTCTTTCGAACGCCTTTACTAATTCGTTGGTACCATGGACACCCTTTAGCCTTCTGAACCGCGCTACTTTCAGGCTGTCGAGACAGCGCATCGGCTACTTTATTAAGAGCCCCTTTTCGGTATCGGATGTCGAAGTCGAACTGCTGTAGTTCGAATACCCATCTTCCCAGGCGACCGGTAGGAGCTTCGAGTCGCTGTAGCCACTTCAACGATTGGTGGTCAGTGACTACCGTGAACCGGTATCCTTCGAGGTAATCTCTCATTCGGCGAATTGCCCACACTACGGCTAGGCACTCTAATTCGGTGGCACTGTAATTTTTCTCGGCCTGATTTAACGTCCTACTCGCGTAGGCAATTACGCGTTCCCCCTGCTCTAGGTTTTGGGCGGCGCCTAGACCCTGGGTACTGGCATCAGTTTGCAGGATAAAAGGTCGGTTAAAATCTGGGCATGCTAAGACCGGGGCCGTAGTGAGCATGTCTTTTAGTCGTTGGAAAGCGTTTTGCTCTTCGCCGGCCCAGGTTAATCGGGTGTTTTTCCGCGTGAGACGCGTTATTGGGGCCGCGATGGCCGAAAAGTTCGGTACGAATCTTCGATACCATGAGGCCATCCCCAGAAACTGTCGAACTTGGCGGACGGTGGTCGGCGCGGGCCAATTCTTAATAGCGCTCATTTTATCCGGGTCGGTACGGATCCCTTCTTGGTCTACAATATGACCTAGATACTTTAAACGGTCTCTACAGAAATGGCACTTATCGACATTCAGCTGTAACCGAGTTTGTCGTAATCGCCGGAAAACTTCCTTCAGATGCGTCAGGTGCTCTTTAAATGTTCGACTGACGATGATAATATCGTCCAGGTATACGAGTACGTGGAGGTCTAGGTCTGGGCCTACGTTGTCTAGAAGTCGCTGGAAAGTGGCGGGTGCCGAATGAAGGCCGAACGGCATTATGCGGAACTGTAAGAGACCCCGCCCGGGTATTGTAAACGCGGTAGCAGGTCGGCTATCCGGATCGAGAGGTACCTGCCAATACCCGTCTTTAAGGTCTAAAGTCGACAGGTACTTCGCCCCCCTTAGCTTATCCAGTGTGGCCGTGATATGCGGCAGAGGATAGGCGTCTTTCTCCGAAGCCTGGTTCAATTTCCGGAAGTCAATACAGAACCGAAAAGCCCCGTCCTTCTTTCTCACCAAGACCACCGGGGAGCTCCACGCACTATTGGAGGGTTCTATTACTCCGGCTTCCAGCATCTTATCTACCTCGGTGTTTATCACGGCTTGCATGGCCGGGTTTCTGGGGCGGTATCTCTGCTTAATCGGTAGGCCGAGTTTTAAGCGGATAGTGTGCGCGACACGGTCGGTAGGACCTCGGATTGACCTGAATTTCCGCAGTTCTCTCTCGAGAAATTGTCTAAATTGTCGGTCCTCTGTTTCAGATCTGGGAGCAATTCCCGCCGAGATATTGCCGGTGATAGTCGATACCTGCGGGGTAGGTGCGACTTGATCGCGCGGCGGGGCCGGTATAGTCATTCCTAATTTGGCCCATAGATCCGTGCCAATGAGCATGGCACTTCGGGAAGCCGGCATGACCCGGAACCTATGGTCAACCCCGATTCCTCCGACCCTTACCGTGAGTTCGGCGACGGCTTTTACCGTGGCCTCGGTGCCGTCGGCCAGTATTATAGGTTCGTCCACGTCTAGTACCGGTCGCCCGGCTGCCTCCATTCTTTTCGCAGTTTCATCGCTGATGAACGAGATTTCGGATCCGGAGTCAAGTAGTGCCCATATCGCGACCCCCTGAGCATGCACCTGAATATGTGGCGTATATCTTATTCGGAAGCGGGTCGGAGTTCGGCCGCCTTGTCGCCGACCCGTGGGTCGTTTCCCGACGGGGGATGACAGTCTCGCGTCAAGACACCGTCTTTTCCGCAACGAGAACAAAAGAACACTTTTTACAATTACATGTATATTAATGTATACATATGTTTATATATATATATATATATATATATATATATATAAACATATGTATACATTAATATACATGTAATTGTAAAAAGAATGTAAATATGTAGATATGTAAGTAGGAAAAATATATATAAGCATAGTTATGTATATATAAAGCTCCATATACTACTTTATATGATCATATTGCAGCCTTATACTACGCAAAATCACCAACTTCAAACAGCTGTAACTCAAAAACTATAATTTTTCAGACTATGTGTCCATTGATACTTTTGATCTACGCATCAAGAACTATCATATGGCAAAGTTTCAGAAAATTTCACCGAAAGCCATTTTCCATAAGGATTCTGCGGGGTCCTTTCCTAGGGGGTCGTTTACAGTCGAGGCGAGTATGCCCCCGCTGTTTACAGCGCCAGCAACACATGTTCCGATCATACAGTACGGTGGCCACACTGGCTTCAGGAGCTTTCTTAGTTTCCTTGGCACTATCTTTGCGGCGTTGATCAATTGTCTCGTGATAATTGTCTCCGCGGCCCGACGGAAAAGCTCGGATATCGTGGTAATCTCGTCAATTCGCGCGTAGAGCTGGAATTCCGGATTGGCATTTTCGTAGAGCTGGTCGATTTGTTCTTGGGTAGTGTAGCCCCCGTAGCTCTGCGCATCATCGTTAAGACGGTTGTCGCGTATTTTCGGAAAGATTCGTTGGGTTGTTGCTTCTGGCGCTGAATTTCTCGCTTTAATTGGCGTTGGTACCCGCGGAGCAGGTACTGGTCTTTTAATTCCTCGCAGAATTGTTCCCACGTGTTCCAGGAGGATCGACAATTTCTATACCACAAAAGCGCGTCGCCACGTAACAATTCAGGTAGTCCGGTTAATAAACGTGACCCTTCGTAGCCGTAGGCCGTATTAAGTTCCTCCACCCGTTCGAGGAACGAGAGGAGGTCTTTCCCGTCAAAGTGCAGGCCACATTTACGCATTTGATTTAGAATCGGGGCCGAGTCTTCTACTGGTGGTTCCGGGGTACTGGGCACGCTCAGGTAACGATCGTTTCCGGATTTTGCCATCTCGGCGTTTTCAGCGATAATGTGGTCCCGAAGACGTTGGCGGACGATATCAAAGTTCCCGGTGGTGTCTAACCCGGCCGCGGATAATCTAGTAGTAATCTCGGATTTATTCAGTCGGTAAATTCCCGAGAGCATGAGTGTGCGAGTCGGAGCCTCTAACGGTCGGGTCCCTGTTCGGGCGCCATGTAACGGAGCACCTTTCCCGACGCCGCGGATCGGCTCGCCGGAGTCAGGGTTCGGGAGAAGGGGAGGCTCAGGCTCGCAAAACACCACACAGTTCTGGGTGAAAATATGTTTATTTTAAAAAGAAAGAAACAGATAGATGAGAATTTCGGGTAAACCCGTACAAATATGTTACGCTTATTATTTACAGGGAGTCGCGACGGAGCTGTGGATGCGGCTTCAATTATACTAAATCTAATAGCTAACGGGTATGACCTAATACTAATCGAGATATTTACAATGCTTATTCTACAAACGCGCGGACGGTTCTTTCGGACGCGGACCGCGGAGAAACCAGGGGTGGTCGCGTGCGGCGTGGCAGGGTCTGCCAACCGAGGTCAGCTGAGGACAGGAGAACCCGTCCTCCGGGTGACGTACACTGGTGCCCCGTGATACGTCGGGATACTGGACGTCGGTAGCAACCGACCGGGCCCGGTAGCAACCGGGCTCTAGATCAGGGGAATTTAATGGGACCCCCCAGAAGCGATGTCGCGACGCGAAAGTCCTAATGGGTGGTCGCGTGCCGGATGGCACGGACACGGGCCTAGCAGGGTCTGCCAACCGAGGTCGGCTGAGGACGGGAGAACCCGTCCTCCAGGTGACATACACGGGTGCCCCGTGGTACGTCGGGATACTGGACGTCGGTAGCAACCGACCGGGCCCGGTAGCAACCGAGCTCTAGACCAGGGGAATTAAACAGGGCCCTCCAGAATAAACACGCGGACGGTGGACGAGCGGTTTGACGGGCGGCCGTAACGAAAGGTCGGTTGAGGATCTGGTAGGAGGAAAAAAAAGAAAGACCAGTTTATTTCGCGACAGTATTATTCCGCGGAGGGCCGTGAGGTGCCGAACGGGAGGGGCGGTCGATGTCCAGGAGGCGTGGGTACGGCTGTCCTCTGGGAGCTGCGGTGGTCCCCTCAGGTACCGTGGATCCGGCTGTCCTCCAGGAGTTACGGCGGCGGTCGTTCCTCAGGTACGGTGCTCGTCCACGTAGTCGGGGGGGGGGAAAGGGCCGTAAGAGGGGCCCGTTGTTACCGAAGCCATGAAAACGGCTAGTTGTTCCAAGAGCCGTGAAAACGGCTAGTTGTTCCAGGAGCCGTGAAAACGGCTAGTTGTTCCAGAAGCCGTGAAAACGGCTGTTCGGATGCCAGGATGCGAGCCGGACAGTCCGGACGTCGGTTGAGACCGACCGAGTACGGGAGCCCCGTACCCTGGACCGGGTCGTCCGTGGCTCGACGGAGAGTGGGTCGGAAGTAAGCCGGACAATTCCAGACGTCGGTTGCAACCGACCGAATACGGGAGCCCCGTACCCTGGACCGGATAGTCCGTGGCTTGACGGAGGGCTTTTGGACGTCGCACGCAGCCGACCGGGCACGGCTGAGGCCGTGCTCTGGACCAGAAGCAAGGATGGAAGAGGAGCTCGGTAGGCTTTGATTGCCCAGGATGCGCCCTGTGGCTTCTAGCGTCCCGAGAGTCGGGACAGGAATAGGTACCGATCTGCCGGAGCGGCCGCCTTATATACCCGGCTAGCTACCCCCACTCGATATCCCCACGCGGTCATGCGCGTAGTAGTGGGGTAGGCCGCGACTTTCAGTCCGCGGCTCCCAATTCCGCGGCTCGGTCGAGGTGCTCAATCGGCGGCGCTTGGCGCCAAATTGGCGCCGCGCTGTTTCGTGCGCTAGTAACGACCTAGCCGTTACAATTCAAATGGATTTATCGACGCCTAACGGGTCTTTGGCTTATCACACAAATTGGATTGGCTTTTGACCGGACAGTGAATGATGAGAGAGAGTATGTGTGTGTTTTAAATTCATTCAACTTCGCTTACCTTGAATTAAACCGTTATAAGACCATTCTTTTACTATCAAGTTGCAAATCTTTTACAAATTTTTTTCACTATCTTACCGACTCAATATTTTACTTTCCATTACCGGCCCCACAATGTATACAGCCATGACTCGTCTGACTCTTGCACAAGAGATTAAAGTTTAACGTGTATCATGTTATCATTTGATCATAATAATCAGTGTATGAAAAATGTAAAGAAGAAAACTATGAATCAATGAAGATACAGAATATTATGCATTATTATGCGTAATATATAATGCGTTATTATGTACTACTTATTTTTATGTTATAATTTTATTTTTTCATATTTAAATAAATAAACGTCTTATTGTTGTCTATAAATTACCTAAAAAATTTAATGCATTGATTAAACGTGAAAATGATAGATTGCCTATTAATAGCGAGACTGAAGTCGTTTATAAATTATACTATAAAAATTGTAATACGTCATATATTGGCCAAACGAAAAGACATTTAGGCACTCGTGTCAAAAAATATTTTAACGACATTAAATTGGATGAAAGTAATTTTTCTGTCATTAACAAACATAAATTGGAATTTAATCACGACTTTAATTGGTCAATACCGGTTATTTTACACAATGAAAAACATGTGAGGAAGAGAGAAATTGCTGAAATGTTTTTTATCAAAAGTTTGACAACATTATTAACTTACAAAAGGACATTGAGAATTTAAACAATATTTATGATAGACTAATAAAGTTTGTTTTGTCTTTCTCTGTTTCATGGAGAGGTTGATGTGATGAAATCTTGACAGTGATTTCCTTATTTCTCACAATATAATAGTTAACTAAGATATTGTATGTATATAATTTTCTGTTCACTTTTTATTTGAAATTACTGTAATTTATTTTCTGTTTATAGTACTGGAAACAATTTTTAGTTCACTTCTTAAGGACCAAAACCCATAGTCGGAACGTTTTGATACATTGTCAACCAAGAAATGCCAGTGTGGTCGATTTAAATTTCGTCTCCTATTTTATTTACTGGCGACAGGAATTTAACGTTAAATAAATAAAGCTTTTTTCAATCTGTTGCACACTATTCACAGCTTTGTTTTTCATTTATTTGTTTTAACTTACTAAATTTTACTAGTCTTATTAATCTTATTTGCTTGTACAGTTATTTGTTGCGCATTCAAATAAGGATTTTCTTGAATACAAAATCTAACGGACGCTATCAATTCATTGAAGCGATGATGTTCTATAAAAAGGAAGTGTGATTCTTTTTCTGTTTATTAAATAATCCCGTTTAAATTAATTGTAAAGTAAATTAATTTGTAACGATGCGCCCGCGCCTCGTTCCTATTTGTCGTTATTTAATAAAATATAATTACTTCTTTATTCGCTTAATCGCACCCGCTAACTTCCCGCTATCTCGCTCACAACCATGCATGCCCGTACGCTTCCTCGCTCGCACGCTCGCTGTCTCGCTTGCTTTCATCGATTGCTCTCATCGCTTTGCACTTGCTGTCTCGCTCTCTCCCTCTTGCTCTATCCGAATATTCGCGAATTTTCGCAGTTGTGCCCCACCTGAGTGATTCGCCAGGTAGGGGAATCTCCGGCCGGTATAAAAGCCGACACGACCAGTGCATCGAGGCCAGATCCTGACCAGATCTCGCCCGGGCCGAGGTGCTCCTCGGCTCGACCAGGTGTCTCCAGTGTCGGTCATCCCATCCCGCTCGAGGCGTTACTCGATCCGCCGGGTGTCTGCGGCTTCCTGAAGCCGATCCTGGTCGAGGTGTCTCTCGATTCCCGCCAAGTAACTCCGAATCCTGTACCAGTTCCGGTCGAGGTGTTCCTCGATCCACTGGGTGTCTCCGGTTTTCCCGGATTCAGTCCGAGACGACTTATCGCCCGATCCACCGGGTAACTCCGGTTTCCCTGTACGCAGTCTCAGTCGAGGCATTGCCCGACTGCACGGGGTGTCGCCGGCATCTCTGAGCCGTCCTGACAACCAGCCCCGTCGACGATACAACACTAGTCCAAGGTTCCGTGTCCGTCCCGAGTACCCGTCACGTTTCTGTAGATTAAGTCTGCATTTCCGTGATCGTCCGATACTAGTTATACGCGTTTCTCGTCCATCCGTTGTATATTACTTACCCGCGCAAGACTTACCGTTTTCGTTTGTACACCGGATATTATTTTCAAGTTTAATCATTGTACGCACAATCACATCGACATTTATACTCTCACATACACACCTTGTACATAATACATTCATTCAATAAAAACACATCTAGTTTTGAGAAAATGTTCGCACAAGTTGATTTATTTCTCCCCTTTTGCTCGAATCCTATCCGACGAGCCGTTCCGGAGCGTCAAGAAAAGCGGACCGTTTCAAATTATTTTGCATTATACAAATGAGTAATTGAAATAACTGAAAGGATCACCGGAGGATTTCCCGAGCCCCGAGGAAGTCAGGCGGGGCAAGGAGCGTTTGATGCCGAGAGTATTTCTCTTTGTGGCCGAGAATTTCCGGGACCCATACAGCAGAATTACGGCCGTGATAAGAATCGGCCCGTGAAGGGCGCGACACGGCCCTGCGCCAATTAGATTCGGCTAGGAAAACCGGGGGAAACGATCGCCGACGTTTCTCCCGCGGACCGCACGCACCTCACTGTTCGGCGGACTAGCGACGCAAAAGGACGCAGATCCCGTTGAAGAATACCAAGAGCTTTTTTTGTTGACGATCTTCGAGGACCATTCTGGTGAGACGAACGATCTTTCTGTAAGGCCAACAATTTCGCTGCCGCTCGGGTGAATTGTGTTGGGCCCTCGATTTTACGTATCAGATAATATCGATTATTCGCGTTTGTCGCACGTGGCCCATACGCCATTAACGTCTCCGTTCTTTCGCGATTTTGGGAAATACGCGAATAATAGAGGTGCCGAGCGATTCGTCCGAGCTTTTGTTACAGGACCGCTGCTTCCCTGGGAAACGTCGCCGCCACCAGTCACCGTATCATATTTCGCGTTGTCGTATATTGTAAATTGTCCGCGTTTTCGTGAGATTTATCGTCGTTGTGAGCTTATTTCGTCGTTA